TTTTCCACATCCCGACTCCCCTACTAACGCTTCTTGGGACCCAACGAACTACATTCCAATCTAACCCCTGTCGAAGAATGTCTGTCCCACCTCCAACCCCCTAGAAAATCTTTCTGACCCTTCCTAGGATTCAAGACCATTGAAGATTTCAGCTATGGAAGAGTGTGAGTGCCTCAAGGCCATGTCTATGCTGTCCACAACCTGTTAGCCTGTGATAGGCTCAGTGTTTGCCAGCTGACTGACACAATTTTACATGAGTGTGTCAGACAACATCAGGAAGCTGCCACCCTTAAGTCACAGATAGCTGGATGTCACCAAAGCTCGCCTAGCCTGAACTTTGAGAGAAGATGTCTCCGAAATTAGAAGGTGACAGACTGTCACTACCTTGAAATTTTGCCCAACTATATATATATATATATATATATATATATATATATATATATTATGACTGTCAGGTTACATTTAACTCTGCTGTGTGTATGCATAGCTTGTATTCAGTTTTCAAGTCAAAAGTCTTAAATCTTCTCATTTTATAGGAGCTTGAATTCTGATCAGTTGGCCATTATGATGAAATATTGAGCCCTCTGGTAGCACCAATATTTATTAGCTGAGATTTTAAACACCTGATTAGCAATGAACTCAGCCACCATTCATAACTGCTTGTGAAGTATTAAGACATCTTGAAGCATGAGTGGGGCCATTTCTTGGCCGGGGGCAGCTGTGTCATTAGACTCATACACTGGCTGCCACAACTAGTGGAGAGGCCAGGACTCTGTCTTTACACCCTAGAGATTTAAAAATGAATTTTGTGCTTAAGAAAGAGCTGTCACCAAGCTTGTGTACTTAATTTCGCAGGTGAGACTAGGTCATCCTCCAAACCTGATCCAAATTTATGGACCTAGAATCGCTTATAAAATAGGCAATCCTAAACTTTGGACACATGATAGTTTCAGCTAGGGAATCCAAACCAAGCCTTGCCTAATTAAATCACAATTTCTGAGCATGGAGACAAAGATGGGGATTAAATGAATTTCCCAGGGCCTGAAATATGTAGCCAGTCAGGGTTGAAACACCCTGCTATAAAGAAAGGATACTGATTCTACAAATTCAGTTAAATCATTTCCTAGAAATCAGTATATTAGAAATAGGTTAGATGACAAGAAAGAATGGCAAGAAGTAGATTCAACCACGTACAACTGGTCACAGTGATAAACAAGAGAAGAATATGGAAATAAATCAGAGAGAATTTTAAAAATACCTTTGTCTTAGGGGGCTGGGGATTTAGCTCAGCTGTGTAAGCACCTGCCTGGCAAGTGCAAGGTTGTGTTTGATCCCTGGTACAAAAAAACAAAACCAAACAAACAAAACAAAACCTTTGTCTTGGGTCACTAAGTATAAGGGGCCTACAATTTTTCTAAGCTCTACAGCATGCAGAGCATGTTCATTATATGATTATTGCATAAAATTTCTTTGTTTAATCTATGCAACATCTATTCCTGAATGAAGCTATTTATCCTGAACTTCAGGCTCAGGGAATAGAAGTTCTAGAGTTCTAGAGTTCTTCCAGTGCCCCAGCAGAGCACAAGTCATACTGAATTGTGTCCCCTGTATTCTCATTAATGTTAGATTATGCGCTCCTTGAGGAAAGGAATAAATTTGATTCATCTTTATCCTCATATGCCTGGCATTATGTGTGGGACAATGTAAGGAGACAAATGCTTATGAAGTAAATGAGACAATGAACTGTCTTTCCTCCTCATATTACAGTTTGAAAAACCCCAACAATGAAAGTACTTTACTAACTGGATGCAACTTTAAAATAGAAGAGACTTTATGGTCCTGCTGTTCATTCCGAGATACTTACTTGGCACTTTTTGTGGTGTACCTGATGCCAAGCCGAGGGCTGTGAGGATACAGATTTGAAGATGCAAAGAAGGTAAATGCATGGAGAAAAAGGCAGCAGAAGCTAGAAACTGGAGCATGTTTTAGAACACAAGACAGGAGATTGGCTAGAGTTCAGGGTACAAGTAATAATCAACAAAGCTGAAATATTAAGGCGGCCAAAGACCAGTTCACGTACCGCCTTTAAGGAACTGGAGAAGATATGACCCCTATTAGGAAGATTTCCTTCCCAAGTGATTACATTTTTCTAAAATCTGCTGACAGAGTGGTTATCCTGTGTTCTCACAAATCCATTCACACCTTGTCTTATATGTTTGGATAAGCAAGACACTGTTCAGCTGTACCTCCCAACCAATCTCCTTCCTCTCTTCAACACGGTCACCACAGTCTGCACCTAGTTTTTCAGTATGAGCAAGCCAAAGAGAGGGAACAGCTTTGCTTTTCCAAATAAGTCACAACTACAATCTCTAATCCCCTTACAACTCACAGCTTGGGTCCTGAAGGAAGAAGCTTCTTACCCCTAAATTTGTCGATTCTTGAGCAATGAGCTTCTACTAGAAATAAAATCTCAGAAACCTCATATCCTACACTGAAGGACTTGGTTTTCAGTCATGGCTCTAAGTCGCTACCTGCTTCTAGACGGTACTTGAGACTACAGGAGAACATCTGAGGACCTGAAGGGGGATGCAGGTCAGGAGTGATTGGAATTGGATTAAATCTTCACACCAGCCTTCTGAGTTCTTCCTGAACATGAGCTCTTTAAGTGAAAGACATCTGAAGACAGGAGACTGTAGGGCATTTTACTTAAAAAAACCACAGCACTATTTTCTGGTCTAAAGTGAACAGATTATTAGAAGGCACTAATTTGCCTTCTAATAAGTGGTGACATTCTCCCCAAGGCTCAATGCACTTAATACAAAGTCTCACCAGATTCCCAAGGTGGGGACTATTTCTCCCATTTTATGGATAGGACATCATAAAGATGGAGAAGTTGGAGAGATGGTTGGGGTGCCTGTGAAATGTGGCAGAGAAGATCCAGGATCCTGCTGTCCTGGGTATTCATGGGAGGACTCCATGGTCTATAGTTTCTGTTACCAGTTCCTGGCACAGGGTGAATGTCAAGTACTCAGGGAGTCCGATCACATAGCAAGAGCATCATCAAGCAGTGACAGTACCCACAGGGGCCTAATGCACTCTGTGTCTTCAAGGACTGTGCACAAAAGAGGGGGAAAAGAAAAGTACCAAAGTGTTACACTCCAGAGCAGCCCTGTGAAAAGTCCCTCAGGAGGCAAAGTGCAGGTCTTTGAGGGAGAATGAGAGCCCACATTCCATCATATTGAGAGTGGACAGGCCAGTGGGAGCTCAGCAGTTTGGGAGGAAAGACCTGAGGTTAGATTAGACATTTAAAAAAGAAAGAATAACAAGCACATTTAAGAAAAGTCAGTCAATAGGTTAATCATAATCCCACTTCCCATTGCAGCAGAGGGTCCATTCTAAAATGGATCAGACCTAACACTGGGATCCAGACATCTCCAAACATACTCGACATGTCTAAGTTCCAAGGGACGGGACGTTGGTGCATGGTTGGTACCTCACTTGTAGGTTTCATTCAGCCCAAAATGGTCCCAAGACTCGAAGGCAGATTCCATGGCCTGCGCAACTTGTCTGCCATGAAATTTCTAGAGTCAGAATCTTGCAATAATTGAAAGTCAGCAAGATGCAGTTGACTATAAAGTGGTAACATTTTTAACCCTGTAAAATAGTAACTCAGGGAAACACAACTTATTTATTATAACCATTTCCGCATACTCTACTCCAGTTCTCATTCATTTGTGCTGGTAGCATGTACACTTTTCTGTAATCTGCTTTTACAAATTGGTCACTATGTTACAATGGGGGTAGGGAAATACAGGAGGTAACTTTCCACGCAAAGGAAGAAACATGACTCTGGGTAGTTGTGGTGATTTACCAGGGTATGATTCTGTCCCCTGGGTGCACACCTGGCAATGTCTGACAGCGTTTGCAGCAACTTGAGGAAGGAGTGATGCTGCTGGGTAAGGCAAAAGATGTTTTCTAAACATCTTAATAATACACAATAGAGTCCTCACAACAAAGAATTATCCAACTCAAAACATTAATAATACCAAGGCTGAGAAACTCTCCTCTCTGGGCAGAGACAAGAAAGCATATGATCATTTGACTAATTTTAAGCAGCCCAATTTGACTTGAATATGGAATACTGTAAGGAACAAGGGACAGGAAAACCAGGAAATTAAGTTGAGATATATCTGAAGAGCCTGAATTGTATTACAGGTGACACTGGGGAATCATCAAATAATTCCTGGTGAAAAAAAGGGAGGACCTTCAGCTGATTCTCTAGGTCTTTGACCTAAGCAACTGGTCGACACCACTTCTAAACCATGCACACGGGAAGAGGAGACTTGAGGGAGAAATAGATTCAAATGAGGACTCTGTGCATGTTCCTGGGCACAGGGCACCAGAGACCTGCTCCAAGAGCAACAGAGGTTGTGGGCTAGAGCTCTACAGGGGCAGTTGCCTGAGAGCTCTCTGGAGAGCTTAGACTCCATGGAGGGACTTGGCAGAGCTCCAGATGAGGACCCTGCAAAGACAGGAGGGGAAGAGTGGTCATAGGCCTGGGAAAAGAGCCAGCAAAAACAGCACCACAGAAGCCAGGTGAGCAATGAACCTGGGGTAAAGCAGGCAGGTCTGAAGCTACAAGATGGCAAAGGCAATGAGCAGAAAAGGGGCTGGGCCAGCTCATGCACGTACATCCTTCTCAGGGAGAACCCGGGTTTGAACTTGGGTCTGCTGGCACCGAGCCCAGGATTGCTCCCATCAGCCATACTGCATAGTTGCAGGCCATGGAGATTTGTGGGCCAGCCCTGTGCTTGGACACAGAGGGCTGGCTGGATGTGCATCATTACAGACATGTGATGACGATGAACAGTTCCCCGAACAGAGAGAGTCTGCTGTCACACAGAAGTCTTTTTCTTTCTTCCCACATGAGCTGCAGGCCCTGGGGGATGCTATGCCTGCTTCTGAGGCAGCTTAATATTAAAAAAATAAATATCACTTACCTCCCACAGGGAAGCTCTGGTGGAACCACCTCAGCAGAAAGCCTCGTGAGCAGTTGGGGCACCCTGGCCAGGGGCGCCTCAAAACCTGGTTTATTGAGATGCACTTGGCAAAGAAACAGCAGAAGAGACATACAGTCATTCCAGAGAGAAATGCAATCTTAACCAAGTGCAAAGCCAGGCCCAGTGGCACATGCCTGTAATCCCAAGACACTGAGAGGCTGAGGCGTGTGAAATGTAAGTTTGAGCCCAGCCTAAAGAACTTAGTCACTTAGTGAGACCCTGTCTCAAAATAAAGATAAAAATTTTAAAAATCTGGGAATGTTCGATCACTTGTACCATCATCAACAAAAAATTAAAGTGCAAGATATCTTTCCCCACCAGACTGGCAAGACTGAAAAAGCGGCAGATGTGTAAAGTGAATTTACATCCACCGTTACTGGAAGCTAAACAGTGAGGAGCATGATCTTTTTGGAGGACAACACCTATCAAAAATGGACATCACTTACCCTTTGCACTAGCAAATTTGCTCCCAGGTATTAGTCTTAGAAGTTGTTCATTGCAACCTGAAAAGGCAAAAACATAGATAGAAATGGTAAAGCATGATTCAAGCACACTGTGGAACATCATTGAGCTGTGTGTATCTATGAAGAAATATGAGGCAAGTCCCGTGTTAATATGAAAAAGACCCAATATTTATTAAGAAGGGAAAAGGAGTGAGTAACAATATATCCCATATGACCTCATTATTGTGACATAGGAATAGTTACTGCTGTGCCCACAGCTATCACGCTCAGAAGATGCACACCAGTGAATTGGTAATGGTTTCTCCTTGGGAAGACGTGGAAGGAGAGGAAGGCAAGAGTTTAGCTCCATGCACCAGCTCTGCATCTTTAAAAGGCCGTGTTCTTGAGGAATCTGAGGCCTGGAGGTGGACTTTCCGATTCTTTTAGAAAATCCTCAGCTTGCTCACCTTTCCCAAGGCTGCTTGTTCAGTAACTGTGGCAAAGTGAGCTCAGGGACTCCATGAGGGGCCATTGCAGGACTGGTCCCAGGATGCGGCTACCCTTCCCATGACTGTCACAGGTGGGTTAAGGGCAGGCCAGCTGAGGGCAGTTCAGAGCTTCTCACAGCCGCTGGGGCACAGATGATCTTGCTTCCTTTACCTGTCTTGGATGGTCCCATTCTTGACCCCACACCTGCCTGTCCAGGTAGAGAAATGATGGCCAGGGCCATAGATGCTGTTCTGAGGTAGAAGAGGAAGGAATGTGGAAGCCCAGTGCCTTGTAGGGCCATTTTGTCCCTACAGAAGGGAGCACAAGTCCAAATATTTGGGAGAAGCAAGCAGCTCGCCTCCCTGGTAAGTGGCTGTGGTATGTCAGGCTGCAGCAGGCCCAGGGGGAGAACCACCAGCGTCTCCTGAGATCTGAGCCATGTTGGAACTTAGGGTGCTGGGAAATCCAGCAACCAGCTCACCTCCCTGGTAAGCGGCTATAGTGTGGCAGGCTACTGCCCCACCAGTGTCTCCTGAGATCCGCACCATATTGGAACTTAGGACGCTCGGGAACCAAGCAATCAGCCTGCCTGTTAAGCAATAGGGGGCCTACTTGTGCATGGGCTTAGAGTCAAACATCCCACTTCCCCCACCCCACTTTAGCAAGTGGGAACCAGAGATCTGAGCATCTCTTGGGAGGTTGACCATATGCAATATAGCAAATAAGGGGAATTTCCTTCTACCCTCTTTTTGAAGGCAAATATTTTTACTACTGTTTTGCTCTATTCTAATTAATGGTACTGCTCTATTCAATATTCTGTTTTGATAAGTTTTATAATGTTCTGTACTTCATTTTATTTTGCTATACATTATTGAAAGAACAACTATTGTGATGATAATGAGATATACTGTGATACCTATTACTGTTATCCTGGTAACCTGCTGTGAAGTTCTGTACCAATTTCACCACACTGTCTCAGTTGGCTTTGTTCTGCTGTATTTTACTACCTTCAAAAAAAACAAAAAAATATTTGTAACCAACGGTACCAGAAGAACTCTATGACCCTTTTCCTATGGGCTGACCACTGACCTCAATCTTGGTGTTCCATCTGGCCCTGGGCCTGGAAAAGTCAGGAACATTCCAGAGTCTGCACTGGGCTGCAGACACACTGCTTCAGGGTCTGTCCAACATAAGTGAAGGTTCATGCCGGAAAACAGGAACAATGATTCCTGAGCACTCACTTGGTGTCAGACACTCTCCGGAGTCCCTACTATTCAAACTGCAGCCGTGGACCAGCAGCAGAACCAAGGTACCTGGTGCAAGCTCTCAGGACTCACCTACCATGTCAGAAGCTGTACTTTAATAAGACCCTGGTGACTGGCATGACATTTAACCCTGAGAAGCACTATTCTTGGTACTTCAGCTCTATCGACTTGGTTAGTTCTTACCAACCTTCTCAGCTGTAAGGAGCATCACAATTTCACATACAAAAAGGCTAAAGGACAGAGAGGGTTAGTAACTAGTCTTGGGTCACGCAGCCAGTAATTTCATTAAACAAGTTCATACCAGACAATCAGTCTCTAAAGTCTGCATTGTTGCCCATCATAACACAATGCTTAATGTAGAAACAGCACGAGGAATAGATTTTTTATCTATCAACATGGCAGGAGGCTTAGGATGCTAGTGAGGAATACAGTCAACATTTCCAAGATTGGCCTGATAGTAATCACGTCTTTCAAAATTACAGAAAGGAAAAATAGAGCAATGGTTGGTAAATTTGGAGTTGGTATAGTAAGCCGTGGTAGTGACAAAGTTGTTCTTTATCTTGAATGTATCGTTACTGTGGTTTTACGAGATGTTATCAGGGAGAGTGGGTAAGACTGTGCAGAGGATGTCTCTGGATTATTCCTTACAGCTGCACGTGGACCTCAAACAGCTCTGTTTTAAAAGGCATTTTCTGCAGCTACAATCTCCAAGTTTAGAACCCTTTTAGATGAGCCAAAGTTAAATTTTATACACATGGGCCAGAAGTGTGTTCTGATTAAAATACGCACAATTAAGGCCTGGAGAATGAGCAGAAGTATCCAATGCCAAGTTCAGTTCTATACCAAAACCACGTGTTCTTCCACACCATTCTTCTTTGTTCCAGAATCCTGGCTTCAAAACACACAGGCACGCACGCACATGCATGTGCGCACAGCCTCCATTAACACAGATTGTCTGTGAGTCATTTAGATGGAAATAATACCATATGATTGATGAAAAAAAGAACGAACTATGAAGGCTTAAAAGTGGAGAAGCATTCCCAGCCTCCTGCAGGAAGTGAAGAACATCCTTTTGGCTGGAGTTGACATTTAAGAGCAAAGAGCCAAACCCAAATCCTGTTCTCAGAATGACTTTGGAAGGCAGTTAGATAAGCTAGGTAGGGAAATGACCATTAACAGCCTGCAAAAATACACAGCCCACAGAGCAAAGTGAACTCAAATATTTTACCTAACTGGTTGTGGGTGTGGGCATGGGGCAGGGGGTGGGATGTGGGTTAAGCATTGCATACTTGTGCATACAATGGTTGGCTCAGGTCACTCGAATCAGACATTTTTGTAAAGGGCCAGAAGCCACCACAGTGAAGAGAAGAGGCTGCTGGCTCACTGGGCTCATGTATTCTTCCATGGGCCACAGAAACCTGCACACGGCAGAGGCAGGCTGACAGGTACTGTCTAAAACACTCCTGTCTCCGAGCCAGAGAAGACACACCCAGTCATAAGACCTGTGCATTCAAAGCACAGTAAAATCTGCCATGAGATTAAGATCCAGGGACTGCTGGATCCAGGGATTTTGGGACTCCTCCCCAGACACTCGCCACACCAGTCTGTGACCTGCATTTTCCCCGCTGGCTACCAACAGAAGTCAGCACTTAGATTGCCACAGGTGATCCAACACAGAAACACACACACATACACGGGTCCCAGGAAGCTATAACATGACTCTTACTCTGGGAGGCCGTTGAAAGACAGGCCTTTGTGTGGTCCCCCATTCCCAGGGCGCCCATGGAGAGGCCTTGCTCTTCCACACCCAGACACTACTGTCTTTGTGGAATGGAGCCAAGAGGCCAGCATTAGCCTTTCTTCTTCTTATCCTTCCCCTTCCCGGTTCCACATCTCCTTTCCCCTTCAGCTCACATGGGAAGATACTGTTTAGGAGAAGACTTCTTCATTTCCTCTCCTTCTCTGGAAATACATAGGAGCCCAGTCAACACACTTCCCGTGAGACCTTTCAGCTAGTCTTAGCAGAGGACTTTGACCTGTCCCCTGCACAAAACCCTGCACAAAAACAGCGTGGCACCAGCACCAGGCACTTTGCGTAGCTTCTATCCTGAGTCACTGGCACTAATCTAGCACACTGCATTTCCAAAATTGTTTCTAACCCTTCCAGCATAAGATTCCTGAATGGTCTTCCTACTTATTCTCTTGGTGTAATCCTGCTAAAAGAAACTGGGGAGGGGAGAGTTTCAATAAGCTTTGCTCATCTCTGCTTCATTAGTGCATGGTACCTAGTGCATAGTAACTGCTCAATAAATATTTTTATAAAACCAATGGTCTAAGAGTGAGTCTCTCAGAGCTGGGGTTCAGGCCTACTTCTCTTCCTTGGAGCTTTGTTCATGGAACTACAGTTGGTATTGGCCCATTGGCCATTCTGAGGAAATTCTTTTCCTGCCAGAAGCCCGAGGACTTCGTCTCTTCTTAGCCTATGTTCTCCCTGTGTAAATCCCATTCAACAGGGCAGGGACAGATGCACAACTAGCATTAAATCCATACACACTTAAAGCAGTCTGAAAACTGTTCTCTCACCAAGGCCTGAATGAGAAGGCCTTGAGTGTGTTGCTAAAGACAAGAAGTAGAATGTGGAGCCCTAAGGCCAAAGTACTGGAGAAAAAGCCAAGAATGAGACTTTTTGGAAAGAATAACAAGCAGAAAACAACTAAAAATGTAGAATTCTACTCCTTAAATAAAAAGAGATCAAGGCTAAGTATGCCAACATGTTCTCTGTATACTCAAAGGACAAGAGTTGTTTACTGGTTTCCTTCATCCTGAAGCTCATGTCCTAATTCTGACCACCATGTCCATAAAAATATGAAAGAGTGTGCATTATACACACCTCTGACAGTCTTGTACTGCCCACACAGAGCCCTGTTCTATCAGCATTCTGAGAAATAATCTTCTATCAATCACTATCTGTTTGGTCTCCAGCATGGCAGAGTAGCTTGTATTCTAGAAAGGAAAATTCATGCACAAGGATCTTGGCTCCAAACTCTAACTGACCCTTGGTCACCTATCAGGTTATGTAGCTTTGCTTTGAACAGAATTGTGATAGAAAGAAATGACAGAAGGGTCAATAGAACCAGAGCACCTGGTGTTGGTACTGCCTTCTCAACACTCACTCTCTGAATAAGGCACCAAGATCGTGAGTGCCAAGAAGCAAGAGGAAGGACCCTGGACAGTGCAGTGTGACTGGGTCTGGAGGACAGGAAAGTCGCTCACCTTGGCCTGGAAGGTGTATTCAAGTCCTAGGTCTT